TGTAGTAACTGTTAAATGAGAAACTATTTTGTTCTGTAAGCCTTCATCTTAAGTGAGAATAACAGCACAATTGGAAGAGCGTAGTCAATGTCACTGAACCGTGCATGTAGAAATTTTTGAAATGGTGTATCTTCGGCTATGTGTATTTTCACCAAAAAAAAAGGGTGAGAAGTTAGAGCGTTGATATGTTGTGGGGTTGTTAACCAATGTCATAAAACAACATGTGTACTACTGTTTCACGAGAAACTATTTGTGCTGTAAGCCTTCACCTGAAGTACAATTATAAAAAAATTTTTAAAAAAAATCATTCTATTGCCTAGAAAACTTCATGCTGCCAGATTGCCAGATACTTATGGAGTAACTGGGCTGACAGGGAGTACTCTCCTGATGCTGGCCATTTTACCCAACCCCGCCAAGTGGGCCCTCCCACCTACGTGGGTGACATGCAGAAACACAGTCGTCTCTGCTCAGCACCTTCAAAACCACTACCTGGTAGCATCTGTGATTTTAAATAGCCAACAACACAAGAAAAGAAAACTACAGGCCAATATCTCTTATGAATACAGATGCAAAAATCTTCAACAAAATACTAACGAACAGAATTCAACAGCATATTAAAAGAGTCATATACCATGACCAAGTAGAATTTATTCCAGGAATGCAAGGATGGCTCAACATTAGAAAATTAATCAACATAATACACCACATCAATAGAAAAAAAGAAAAGAAACACCTCTATGGATGCAGAAAAAGCATTTGATAAAATCCAAAACCATTTCTTGATGGAAATCCTAAAGAATATTGAAATAGAAGGGAAATTCCTCAATATGATTGGAGGCACATATGAAAAGCCAACAGCCAACATTACATTCAATGTGGAAAGACTGGGAACTTTTCCCTTGAAATTGGAAATAAGACAAGGGTGCCCATTCTCACCACTTGTATTCAATATTGTATTAGATGTCCTAGCCAGAGCAGTAAGACAAGAAAAAGAAACCAAACGTATCCAAGTTGGAAAAGAAGTAAAATTATCTCTATTTGCGGATGATATGATCCCATTTATAGAAAATCCCAAAGAGTCCACAAGAAAATTTCTAGAGCTAATAGAGGAATTTAGCAAAGTTGCAGGGTAGAAGGTCAACAAATAAAAATAGTTGGGTTTCTGTACACCAGCAATGAGAAATCTGAAAGGGAAATTAGGAAAACAATTCCATCTACAATAGCATCTAAGAGAACGAGAAGGACTTACACAATGAAAACTACAAAACACTGCTCAAAGAGATTAAAGAAAGATTAAATAAATGGAAAGATATTCCATGTTCATGGACTGCAAGACTTAACACTGTTAAGATGTCAATACTACCCAAAGAGATCTGTAGATTCAATGCAATCCCGATCAAAATTCCAACAGCCTCTTTACAGAAATAGAAAAATCAATCCTCAGCTTTATATGGAATGACAAGAGGCACAGAACAGCTAAAACAACGTTGAAAGAACAAAGTAGGAGGATTCAAACTTTCTGATTTTAAAACATACTATACAGCCATGGTAATCAAAACAGCCTGGTACTGGTATAACAATAGACCCGCAGAAAAATGGAATAGAATTAAGAGTCCAGAAATAAACCCACACATCTATAGTCAACTGATTTTTGACAAGGGTGCTAAGCCTGTTCGATGGAGGAAAGTCTTTCCAATAAATGCTATTGGGAAAATTGGATTTCCACATGTAGAAAAATTAAACAGGATCCATGCCTCACACCACACAAAAAAACAAATTCAAAAGAGTAGCTGCTGAGGCTGCTTATGTACAACCAAAAACCTCCTGGGATTTGGTTTCTTGATTTGGAGGTTTAGGGTTATGGTTTCATGGGACATCTCAGTTAACTGGCCTAATAACATGTTTAGTGCTTCTGTTCTACCTCCTAGTTCTTTACATAGTGCCTGGCTTCTTAAAAGCTTGCAAGCAGCCATCCAAGGCACAATAATTGGTCTCTATTCACTTGGAGCAACAGAGGAAGGAGAGTCAGGAATAAGAAGGAGGATATGGAATGTGTGACTATTTGCCTCCATGAACATCTACCTCCTTTGCCATGAGACCAGAAGAGCTGGATGGTGCCCAACTACCGTTACTGAACATTTTGATCAAAGATTCTATAGAAGAATCCTGATCAAAAGGGGGAAAATGCAGAACAGAATTTCAAATTCTTATGGACTCTAGACTTTCTGGAGCCATGGAGGATGAATGAACCCTTGAAACTACTGTCCTGAGATAATCTTTAAACCTAAAACCAAAAATATCCCCTGAAGTCTTCTTAAAACCAAGTAATAGTTTAGCTTAACCAGTAAAAAATACCTGCCTCGAGCATTATGCTCTTTTAAGAACTATCTATATGGGATCAAATTGATAACAGCAACTCAAAAGATTAGATAGGAACCTTAGGGAGCAGTGAGTTTATGTTAACGAGACAGAAACAACTCAGAAAATGAGGGTGAGAATGGTTGCACAACTCGAAGATATAATCAACGTCACTAAATGGTACGTGTAGAAACTGTTGAATTGGTATATGTTTTGCTGTGTATATTCTCAACAACCACAACAAAATAAATAAAATTTAGGACAAAAAAATCAAATAGCCAAGAGAACACAGGGGACTGGAAGAAAGAGCAGCAAGGCCCAGAGGCTGCATCAGATACCACACTCCATGATCCTGAGGACAAGGGCAGTCTGGAGAGGGGAAATCACAGAGAACCCAAGTCTCCCTCATGAAAATCAATCTCTCTCACTTGTTGCTTTCTGTCTCTCTGTTTTTCCCCCAAGGCTGCAGAGACTCATGGCAAACCACTCTCTCATCCATTCCCTTGTTCAAGCTCATGCTTTGATGGCAGAAAAATGGCCAAATGAGACAGGCAGCTGAGAGACAAGAAAACAATGAGTGATTTAAATCTTAGTAAACATGAGGAGCAAAGAAAAAACCCAAACTTGTCGAGGGTAAAAGAAAAGAAAACTAAAGTTCCTATGAAAAAGATACAGAGGCAATGTGGAAGAGAAAGTACAACAGCTCTTTGAAAAAAATCAGCTGTCTACGTACAAAAAAAACCAAACCCGTTGCCGTCGAGTCAGTTCCTACTCATAGTGACCCTATAGGACGGAGGAGAATTGCCCCATATGGTTTCCAAGAAGCGCTTGGTGGATTCGAATTGCCAACATTTTGGTTAGCAGCTGTAGCTCTTAACCACTACGCCACCAGAGTTTTCGTAAGCAATGTTAATTGACAAAGCTCAAAGCCTTTGATTCCCGGATTTGTTTAGCTCATTTTCTAACTAATCCACTGATCTCTGAACCTCCTTGCTAACCTCAAGTCACTTCCTCACTTATCTCATTGGTCTATGTCCTTCAGCAACAGCTTGCCTGGATTGGTGAACCATGTGGACCAATGAGGATAAAACGTAGACTGGATCATCATACATGACAGTGGCAAAACAAATGGTAAACCCCATTCCATTCCACAGTCATATACACCCCTTCTAGCTCTGCCCCTACGCATTACACTCCATTGGCCACAAAGATGGTGGCATGAGTGGCTATGGCCCAACTCAATGCACTCCATGGCAAGAACACAACTCAATATACATCCCAGCAACAGCGCTCCAACAGCCTGGTCTCTGTCCACCAAAGGTGGCACACCAAACTTTACATATCTAAAGGATGAATACTTGTCTGATTGCCCACTCCCAAGACTTGGAAAACTGTCCTGCCCGTGTCCAAGGGCTGAGAAAAGACTTCAGCTTTATCCAGCAGAAGAGAAAAGATCTATTCAGCTAATTGTGAGTACATTTTCTCCTTCCTAGTCAGTGTCGGTTCCTTAGAGGCAGGGATCATGCCTTATAGTTTTAGTGTTACCTACCCCCACCCCACTGTGCATAGGGCTGGGCGTCTCTCAAGTACATCCTGAGTATTCAGTGAACAAATGGTGGGCTCATAGCACCGCCACCCCACCTTCCTCTAGCCCTGGAGGCCATGGAGGTAGAGCCTACCTCGCCATACTGGGTGCAGTAGGTCTCAGGCTTGGTCAGTCCACAGGTGGATGAGGCTCGGAGAAACTGGGTCCTCCCAACAAGCAGGTCCCCAACAGGTGGATAGCAGGCCCCACGGGAACAGGCTTGCTGGGCATGCAGGAGGCTGGGCAAGGCTGAAATCACAAGAGGTGCTGGGGTGCAGCCCAGAAAGGGGCCACCTCAGTGTCCCTCAAGTGAGCTGATGTTGGCAGGACTAGACTCTCTCCCTTACTCATGCTCACACTCGCTGGCGGGGACGAGTAATGGCAGAAGTCCTAATACCTTTAAGCAAAAAGGCTGACTTCATATTCTGTAACCTGGCAACCAAAAACTATGGGTGGCCCTGAAATGTGGCATCCATATGGAGCTTTTAGAATCAAGCTGGGGACACACACTGGACTATCAGGACACGCAGTCTACAACTCTGTTCCCAGTAGCCTGGCCTCCGTCAGCAGCCTGGAGCAGGGCTGACTACTGAGCCATTTGTGGGCCACTGACAGACGCCTGCATTCTGCTCCTTTTATCTTCAAAGTTGGCCCAGCCACATTTTGTGGGTGCCCAGCTGCCATTCACTGGAAAATCGAGAACTCAAGCCACGATGGCTCTGAACTAGCTTGGGAGTGAGAGGATGGAAGAGAAACTGTGATGAGCAATCAGGAAGCAGCAAACTACACTTGGGAGCCTTTCAAGAGAGGCAGATGCTGCTTCTTCCCCAAAAGCCCGCAGGAGGGGGAAATCTCACGGGTGTCCCCAGTAGACTAGCTCTCCAACCCAAGGGACTACAGGATGACAAGTGATACTCACACTGTGGCTAACTCTCCTCTTGCCCATGGCTGTCACCTCCCTGCTATATTTGGGAATGGATGCTTACCAAAAAACAGGAGAAGAAGTGGCCTCATCTTCAGCCAGTGGGGTGATCCCCAGAATGGGCCTCACCTGGAATAAAGCAAAGCAGCCGGGTAGATAGTGCAAAGCCCCAGGGCACACCGGCCCCTTTTCTCTCCTGTTTCACATTTAGGGTCTTGACCTGGAACACTTGTGGGCAGCAGGCAGGTGCACTGTCACCAAGAGCTTGGAAAATGCCCTGTCCTGGCTGGCGTGTGACTCCCAGGGTGCCCTTCCAGACTGCAGCTTCCTCCTCTGAAGTGGAAGGGAAGGAGGGCTGACCCTGCCCTGCCCTGCCCTGCACGGTCATAAGGGCAATGAAGGGCCAGGGAAGGGCTGGGCCCTTTGCAGGAGAGGAGCTGTAGGGAGGGCTGAGGCCTTGTTGTTGCCCCAAGAGAAACGCCTGATCTTTCTCAAGGCCTGGACCAGCAGTCTCACCCAGCCCAGCCCAGAGGCCCATAGGTAGATGGTAAAAGTGGCCAAGGGCCTGGAGGTAAGCCCTCTCCTTCCATTGGCATGGTTTCCAATGCAACCCTGGCCACCCTGAGGATTTCATCTGAACTGGAAGCAACCCAAAATGTCTCCAATGATGGGCTGGGGCTCTGCAGGAGGAGTGGGATGGGAGGAGGCAAAGCAGGGACTGGGAAGGAGTCTAGGGGCGGACACTGAAAGCCACATGGGGGTCTGAGATGCAGGCCTGCCCTGCCGCGCTCCTGCCTTGCTCATGCACTGTCCACCTCCACCTTGGACTGGGCACTCACTCTGCTCTGATGCCAGCCACAGACTCCTTTGGCTGGGGTTGGGGGCTGGGGGTTGGCAAGGCAGGACAAAGGAGGAACTAGGGGTCGTTCCTGGCGTCTTTAAATCATGTAAATCATACATCCTAATACTCCAAAACCAGCCTTCCAATCCCCTCCCAGAACAGCCAGGGACCCAGGGAGGTGTGGTCTGAGGTCACGAGCTACATGACCTAAGAGGCAGAACTGTGCTCTGATTTTCTTCTAGTTCCCTCTCAGCTCTCCCAGGCCAGGCCGGAAATCCCCTGGAGTTGGGCATGCTGAGCAGCACTCAGAAGACGGCAGCCCAGCCAGTCCACCCTTCCCTCTTCTCTTCTGTGCTGTCCTAGATCTGAATCTGCTTTCTGCTAAGTCATGGAGCCGCTTATCAGATGTGAAAAAGAAATCCAAACAGTGGCAGACATTTTACCTACCGCGTCAGAAGTGAACTCACTCAGGCGAGCTCCCAGGAAGAGGAATGAATCGGACCCTGCAACCAGGTCCCAGGCACCCCGAGATGCAGCAGTTCTCCCCCGTTCCGCCCCCACGGCAGGTGAAGGCAGATAACATACCTCACTCCGTGCTGCTGCTATTCTCTCTCCAGATGGCCTCTCTGAGAGCTCCCCTTGACTGTGGGGGTCTCCTCTCCTGGCTCCAAGTTTTTAAACAACAGCCTCACCTCTGGAGACTCCTGGCTGGGCGTAGCCCCACAGTAGGGCGGGTCTCAGGAATCTGGCAGCCGGCACACCCAGCTGCAGTCACTGCACCCCCACCCCCTGAGACAGGACTGGGCAAGTGGGTTGGTCCAGAGAACTCACAACAGGCTTGGAAGTGCCCCGCTGTCTGGGGGTGCCTGGGGAGGTAGGGAGGGTGGCAAACAGGAGCACCAGGCAAATTGTTAGTGATCATTAGAGACCAGGATACCCAGGGTGGGGAAGGACACTTGCATTTGTACCAGGCACGATACTTGGCATTTTCCAAAAGTCAACAGGGTCAGTGTCCTCCTGTGGCATAGACAACCCAGACAGAAGACTAGGCAGAGGATACAAAGATCTGGGCTTGTAAATGAGTGTTATAGCCCCAGACCTGTCCTGGGGTGGGAGATGAGAAGACCCAAACCTCCAGGACCCTAGAAAGCACCTGGCCCTTCCCAAGGTAGGACAAAGTGGAAAATCCCAGCTTCCTGGGGAATTTGGAGGATCCTTAAAGGGCTATGCTTCATCCAGAGGGGGCCAAAGCCCAACCCAACCACGGAGTTGGGGAAGTTTAAGAGGAATGAATAGTATAACTAAATGCCTCCCCTTTGGCTCCCTCCACAGGGTTGGCACCAAGCCCGAGGACAGGTAAACTACCTGTGAGTCACTGCTCCCAGCTCCAGGGAGGGCTGGTCTCCTAGCCCCTCCTTCCCTGTGCAGGAATGCCTGCCTGGAGGGCCAGAAAACAGATCTGACCGCAAGAGGTAGAAGGAAAGGCTGAAGCATAGTTGGACTAATCAAGGCAAATCAGACTTCCCCTGGACTAGTGCCAAGCCTGAGAACACAGCTTCCTTTGTGGGGCCTTGGGGCGGGCTCCTTGCTTAGGGCTCCTGAGCTTCGAGCCATTGTAAATGGCAGTGAGGAAAAAGTCCAGATTGAGAGGCTGGTCCCATAGGACATTCTTCCCTCAGGTTAGGGGCAGAGGACTTTGAGAGAGGTCTCAGAGGACTCCCAGTACACATCTTGGCCTGGAGAGCCTGCACTGGCGTCATTTTGGAACACTGCCACCTACTTTCTCCTTCCAAGTGTCTAATTAGAAGAGACTCTGTCACAGTGTCCCCTAGGCAGCAAGTTCTTGACAACTGGAGGATTATGTCGAAGAAATTGGTCTGGGAACCCCTAAGGGAAGAATGTGGGATTTTGTGGATTACACTGGACCTTTCTAACCCTCAGGTTCTAATTTAGCACAAGAAGTTCAGACGGGGGCAGGAACAGATACTAGAATTAGCAAGCAGGCAAGAGTTGTTTAGATGAATAACTAATACCTCAATAAATGTGTCTGGCCCCCTATAAGCTTTCCAGTGAAATCTGGTTTAATTCAGCAAGTGGGTGTCCCTAGGAACAGCTTCCCTTCATCTGCCCCTTCCTCTGCCCATAAGAGCGCAGAGAGACACCCATCAAGTTCCCACAGAGCAGTGTCATCTTTGGTCTGGTCTCTTTCCCTCCACTTCTCCAACTCCCTGACCTCAAGGCTTCCAGGAAGTTTCCACACTCCTGGAACTGCCCATCCTCTGCCCACCACCAGGAAAGAGGATGTGACAAAGAGCTCATTGATAATGAACTCAACAGAAGAGCACTGGTGTTGCAATCCCAGCTCCTCAGACAAGGTGGGGTGGGCCAGTGGCTGCGGCCCTTTAAATCTCCCTCCTCCCCGGCTTAGGAGCCTAGGAGCCCAGGTAAACAGGTGTTTGGTGTCTCAGACTTCACAGGTCGGGGCAGGTCCCAGGAGCAGTTTGGCGTGCAGGAGAAAATGGCAGTTGCTCTGCCAACACCCCCACCCCCCACTCCCAGCAAAGTCCATGAGGATCTTTATGCAGACGCCAAAGGCAGTCCAGTCAGCCTTGCCTCACTCCCAGAGACACTGCAAATTCCCAGTCCAGTTCCCCCCGAAATCCAAGGCCCCATCACAGGCTTTAAAACTTAGAACTCGGTTTGTTCAGACAGAGAAGCTAAAATAGCGCCAGAAGGCTGGTGAGGGTCTGGCAGGACTAGAGGGGAGGTGGAGGTGGGGACACTGCTAAAGCACCTCAGCCTCCTCTTTGGGCCCTTTCCTCTATCCCTGCCACCCACCCTCCTGCTTCAGAGTCCCCAGCCCTCAGCTTCCCCAGAGGCTTGGCTCGTTTACACTCAGCTTATGCTCAGGAAAGTGGCTGGTAAAGTCATCCTCGACTCTGGTTTCTCTCACACCCACATCAGTCTATCAGGAAATTCTGTTACCTCCCCTTCCAAAGGTAACCAGAATCCACTTCAACCTCCTAGTCGGGACCTCTCTTGTCCAGACTTCTGCAATAGCCTCCTAACTGCTCTACTGTCTTATCCCACACAACAGCTGCTGTCACCCCTCTGCTCAGAACCCCGCACCAGCTCCCATGGCACCCAGAGTGAAAGCCCAGGCCCCGCAGAGTCTGTGAAGCCCTGCACGATCTGACGCCCTCCCCACTACCCTCTTCTTCTGCTGTACTCTCCCCTCCCTCCTCTGCTGTAGCCACTGGGCCTCCTCAACGGCTTCCAAATGACCAGCCTGCTCCTGCCTTCAGGCTTCTGCCCCAGAGAGCTGCAAGGCTAACTCTCTTACCTCTTTCAAGTCTTTGTTCAGAGGCTGCCTTCTCAGCGAAGCTGACTCTGATCTCTCTATTTAAAATTACAGCCCACTTCCCTGCCTCACCCGTCCCCCACCTCTAGCACTCCCAAGCCCTCTTACTCCGCACTATTATTCATATTTTTTTAACACCACCTTCTAGCCAACTATATAATTTACCTACTTATCATGTTTATTGTCTGTTTCCCCCCACTAGAAGGTAAGGTCCAAGAAGGTAGAGATTTTTCCCTACTGTATTCCAGGTGTTTAGAAATAGTACCTGGCACATAGTAGGCGCTCAATATTTGTGGAATGAATGGCTTCACACTAAAGTGTAAATAGCTGATATGGCTTAATGAGTGCCCCTGCCCCTTAAGTGTAATTGCATTCTCCCAGGGGACAAAGTCCAGGGTTTTCTGTCACCAAAATGGATTGCAAATAGTGGAAATTTATGCATCAGCCAGCTTCAGAGGGGAGGCCTTTTTTAGGCACCTACTGCCAGGCCCCAGAAATGTCACCACATTGATGCAGACAGACTCCCTCTTTGCCTGCATGTAAGTCATCCCTGGCAATGCTGCTGGCAGGGTGTGGGGTGGTAGTAAAGCTACTATCTCTATTATCCACCTGTCAGGCTCAAGTCATCCAAGTTACTGGGGAGATCAGCCAAGATCTGTTCAATCAGAGATCAAAGGACAGGGAGCAAGGGAAGGAGTAAAGGAAGAAAGAGAGGAGGGGAGCGGTTAAGGGGGGGAAGAGGGCCTAGTCCAGACTGTGACTACTGAATCTCAGGTGATGGAGGTGGGGGCGCCCGGTGAGTAAGGCCCAGGTGCTGCCCAAATACAGTTGAGTCACAGCTGAGTCATGGCTCGTCTGTGGGACAGGGTGGGCTCCAGGCATAGCCCTGGGGATTTGCCACGTGACTAAAGCTGGCATGTTCCTCCACTCCAGTACAACGGCTCAGCCGCCCAGACCATCTATCAGTCTTCTGTGTGTCTCCCCAGGAATCAGAGAGAGAGAAGGGGGGCCTGTTATGGTACTGAGGCATGGGCAGGAGTCCAGTGCTGGGCCAGGGATAGCAGTAAGCAGGACAGGCACCTGGGGCTACCTGTCATGAGGTGACTCCATCCCATCCCCTTCCCTCTCCCCTCCCCACCTACCCAAGCTGAATATCTACCCAACACCATGCAGGCTCACTCGGGCCTGAGGTCTGGGAGCGGTCTGGCCATCAGCCTGAAACAACTACAGCTCCCATTTTACTGCTCTAAGCCCTGACATGTCCGAGCTCTATCCTCAAGGGGGTAGAAACATAACTACCCTTGTTTTGCAGATGAAGAAAATGAAGTACATTTTCGGTAAGTGGTGACTTGAACCCAGCCAGTTAGCCCCAGACTCCTCTTCTTGACCATCACATAGGGGCTAAGATGTGCCACATCTTCTAAACTCCCGTGTGACTCCACCTTGGGAATACCTGGTCCGAGTCCACCAGACTCTGGACTTCACGTCTCCCAATCCTAACCAAGACGCGGTATCTGAAAATTCCTCTTTGAGCCCTTGCTCCAACTCTTGAGCACTGGTGTCGGCTGGGGACTCCAGGCGAGGCAATGATGTTGTAAAAATGCCTCTGGCACCTCCTCATTTGTTTTCCACATTGACAACCAATCTTGCGTGGGCACAGATGGAGAAGGTGCCGGCCTCCAGGTCCTCCATCTCTGGGGTGCCCTGCACAGGCCAGCAGGGTTTCCCTCAAACCAGCAGGAAACTGCTGGGAGTGAGGATGTGAGTACTCTTGAGGGGAGGGGAGGCTGAGAAGGTGACTGGACACACAGCGCAGTGAGCTCACAAGATTAAACAAAAGCATGATAACAGGGTGACACAACTTCCCCTCACCAAAGGAAGGGCAGTCCCTTCCCCGAGGTCAGGCTCCTGGGGCACCTCAGGGGACTCAGCTCCTTCTGCTCTATCTCCCCAGGTGCACGCCCACATGCTCCCCCCACCACCCCACCTGAGAGGTATGGCCCAGGGAAAACAGTAGCTTGGTGGAGCTGTATGCTGCCCCTGGGCTGGCTGGCTCCCCCAGAGAAGGGGGAGGAATACCCTAGTGTTCTTGCCACCTCCACCGCCCTCCTGGGTGGGTTCCTGGCCTTCTCTAGGTCGAAAGACTGGCTCATTACCACCTCCGGCAGCACACGCCTCCCCCTCTATCCCAACCACCTCTACCTCCTCCTCCGCTACCCAGCAATTGGCCTCTGGGAATCAAGTTCTCAGGACCTAAGTCCAGGCTCTGTGACCTCTGGCCTCAGATTTGCTATGTGGGGTGGCCATGTAGCCACGGTCCAGCCTCACCTGAGAAGAGAGAAACACGGACCTGTCTGAAGGGGGCAACATGCAGCCACATGGCAGGTCCAGGTGGAGAGTCTCGTCTGGAGAAGGGGGAGACAAAGGAAGACAAAGGCATGTTCAGAGGGACTAGGGGCATTTGCATGCTAAGGTCTGCTCCTTGTACAACTCGAGGGCTGCCCCAGACCTGACAACAAACCCACAAGACTTTAAAATTCTAAGTATGATCCCTGAAAGGGCCACTGGACAGACCAACTATGTTCCCTAACGTTCAAATTGGCATTTGAAGCTGAGTATGTAGAAATAAGCACTCTGTGGTTTGAGGGGAAGGGGGCATGGGAGTGTCTGGCTTCCAGTCTGTAATCAGCACCTCCCTGCAGAGCCAGTGGCTATGGCGGACGTACGTGTGAGCTTGCACAGCTCTTACATTCTAGACAGAGCTCCAGCTCTGCCACTCAGTGGATGTGCAAACTCGGGCAAGCTCTCTCTGGGCCTCAGTTTCACCATTTGTAAATGGATTTTAGCGGTTCTCAACCCAGGCTGCCCCTTAGAATTACCTGGAGAATTAAAAAAATTATATACCCCTACAACTCAACTGGAGGCCCTGGGTGGCATAAACGGATAAGCACTCAGTTGGTAACCAAAGGGTTGGTGGTTCAAACCCACCCAGGCGCACCTCGGAAGAAAGGCCTGGAGATCTGCTCCCAAAAGGTCACAGCCTTGAAAATTCTATGGAGCACAGTTCTACTCTGCAGCACATGGGGTCCCCATGAGTCAGAATCAACTCCACAGCAACTTTTTTTTAGCAACTCAACTACAAACAACCCAACTGAAAAACGGGCAGAGGACTTGAATAGACATTTCACCAAAGAAGATAAGCAAATGGCCAATAAGCACATGAAAAGATGCTCAAAGTCATTAGACATTAAGGAAATGCAAACGAAAACCACAGTGAAATACCACCTAGTTATCTCCATGAAATCACACCCACTAGGATGGCTATCATCCGAAGATAACAAGCGTTAAAGGCCTGTTGCTGTCGAGCTGATTCTGACTCATAGCGACACTATAAGATGGAACAGAACTGCCCCATCGGGTTGCCAAGGAGCGGCTGGTGGATTCAAACTGCTGATTTCTGGTTAGCAGCCGAGCTCTTAACCACTATGCCACCAGGGCTCCTACAATGTTAGAAAGGATGTGTAAAAATTGGAACCCTTGAAGCGGAGCCAACATGGCGCCCCAGACAACCACACCGTGCCATCCCTCTGCAGCAAAGACCTAAAAAATTAAGTAAAACAGCACAAATGTCAATCTGGGAACCCTACGGCATCAAATGAAAGGATATAGAACTAGATCAAACACCAAATGGAAGAAGAAACTAACCGAGAACAGAGAACAAGGAGAGATACGGAGAGGAGGTCCCCTGCCAACTAACAGGGCAGTGTTGCCATCTTGGAACACAGCCAGCAATGACCCCAGACAGGGAACACGGGAAGGCAACTTCACGGAGCTCCCAACAGGAGACAGAACACTCAGTAACCAGAGAAACATGCCTTCCCACCACTCACCTTTGTGAGTAAGTAGAAGCAAGAACCCCCCTAGCCCAGCAGCCCCCACCACCACGGTCCACAATACAAGCACCCTCCTCCATCCCACCCCAAACCCCTCCCACTGCACAACTTTTTTCCTCCTTTCTTCCTTTACTTTCTCCCTCCCACCTAGCCATGCACACCACCCCCCTTAACACAGGCCCCTGCAGCACCACCTCGGCCAGAGACCCACCACCCTGCCAGCTCTTTCTGCACCACCCTGAACCCTCTTCCACTATGCCCACAGGCTGCCTGAGAGTTTGCTCTACAAGGTTTTGAAATCACTGTAGATTTTGAAAGATACGGTTTCTCCTTGTTAAGAAGTATTGTGCTTGGAGCTGTTAGATTTGTGACGCTAAGACAGCACTCAGCATAGTTCCTCAACAAATGTATGTACTGAGTAAATGTGTGCGGAAGGAAGGAAAGGAGAGAGGGCTGAAAAGGTAGGAGGTAACCGCCAGCACCTTAGCTGCCTGCTTTATAACTGCATGTATATATCTGGGCAAATCATAAGGAAAGGAAAGAGGGTCAACTCTCATTTACCTATGTTTGGATGAGAAAGAGGAAGTAAGGATAGCTGAAATTCCTACCCTCGTCCAAATTTGCCTTTCCCATGAAATTCTTCCAGGATAACGCCTCCTGATTCTTACCTTTTCCAGTGCCTGCATAGAGATTTGTACACCCGTGTTGTTCCAGGATTTGTGATTGGGGTGTTTCGTCTCTGCCTCATGTGTCTGCCAAAGTTCCTTATAGTTAGGGTTGCCAGATAAAATAGAGGACATTCAGTTAAATTTGAATTCCAGATAAATAATACTTTGTTAGTATAAGCGGACCACAAATATTGCATGAGACACACCTATACTAAAATATTATTTGTTGTTTATCTGAAATTATCTAACATTTTGAGATATTTATTTGTATTTGCTAAATCTAGTAACCCTACTTGTAGTAGGTTGTTCACCCAGTCCCGTGACTTCCAGATTTTTCCTATCCTGGTCGTCTTCCTCTGAAAGTTCCCTATCTGTCAATAATCTTCCTAAAATATGATGCTTAGAAGTGATCACCAGTACCCTGGTGGCACCCTCTGGGCACAGACCTCTATTTAAGGTCACTGTGGGTGAAGGCCCAAGAGCTGAACCAGCACTGCAGAAATGGGCTTATTCCCTCCATCATCTGGAGATTATACATGTGTTTCCCTGGGCATTATATCAAAACCAAACTCGTTGTCAAGTCGATTTTGACTTATAGTGACCCTACAGGACAGAGTAGAACTGCCCCATAGGGTTTCCAAGGAGCGGCTGGTGGATTCCAACTGCTGACCTTTTGGTTAGCAGCTGAACTCTTAATCACTGTGCCACCAGGGCTCCTTTATAGGTTGTATTTACTCCTTTGGGTACAACTCCAGAAAGAAATTGCTAAAAAGAAATAACTGTGTATTTTCCTGATTGAACAGAAGGGAACAAAATATTTTTCCAGCTCTTGCTGTGTATCAGGTACAATTCTAGGCAATGGATATACGGTATCTCATTTAAGCATCGTAGCAGCCCTTTAAGATAGCTCTTTGAGGGATATGTTATTATTCCCTTTTTTATAGCCTCAGCATTATTAACTAGCATGTACAAGGTCACAGAGTTATTGTTTTAGTCAAGTTAGACTAGGATAGTCTGCCATAGGCTAGGCAACCAAATGTGGAAATTATCAAACTATATCATTAATATCACATAAAAGTAAAATTTTGCTAAAGATAACTCAAAAGCAGCTCCAGCAGTACATCGGCAGGGAACTGCCAGAAGTTCAGGCCAAATTCAGAAGATGACGTGGAACAAGGGATATCATTGCTGATGTCAGGTGGATCCTGGCTGAAAGCAGAGAATACCAGAAAGAGGTTTACCTGTGTTTTACTGACTATGCAAAGGGATTCAACTGTGCAGATCATAACAAATTATGGATAACACTCCAAAGAATGGGAATTCTAGAACATTTAATTGTGCTCATGAGGAACCTTACACAGATCAAGAGGCAGTCGTTCGAATAGAACAAGGGGATACTGTGTGGTTCAGGAAAGGTGTGGGTCAGGGTTGTATCCTTTGACCATACCTATTCAGTCTGTATGCTGAGCAAATAATTCGAGAAGCTGGACTATATGAAGAAGAACAGGGCATCAGGATTGGAGGAAGTCTCATTAACAAATTGTGTTATACAGATGATGCAACCTTACTTGATGAAAGTGAAGAGGACTTGAAGCACTTACTGATGAAGATCAAAGACCACAGCCTCAGTATGGATTACTCCTCAACATAAAGAAAACAAAAATCCTCACAACTGGACCAACAAGCAACATCATGATAAATGGAGAAAAGACTGAAGTTGTCAAGGATTTCATTTTACTTGGATCCACAATCAACATCCATGGAAGCAGCAGTCAAGAAATCAAACAACACATTGTATTGGGCAAATCTGCTGCAAAAGACCTCTTAATAGTGTTAAAAAAAAAAAAAAAAAAAGATGTCACCTTGAAGACTAAGGTGCGCCTGACCCAAGCCATGGTGTTTTCAATCCCCTCATATGCATGCGAGAGCTGGACAATGAATAAGGAAGACCGAAGAACTGAGGCCTTTGAAATATGGTGTTGGCAAAGAACATTGAATATACCATGGACTGCCAGAAGAATGAACAAATCTTTCTTGGAAGAAGTACAGCTAGAATGCTTCTTAGAAGCAAGGATGACCATAATTCATCTCACATACTTTGGACATGTTATATGTTATCAGGAGGAACCAGTCCCTGGAGAAGGACATCATGCTTGGTAGAGGGTCAGCGAAAAAGAGGAAGACTCTCAACGAGATGGATTGACACAGTGGCTGTAACAATGGGCTCAAGCATAAAAATGATTGTGAGGATGGTGCAGGACAGGGCAGTGTTTTGTTCTGTTGTACACAGGGTCACTGTGAGTCGGAACTGACTTGACGGTGCCTAACAACAGCAGGCTGCCGTAATAAATTAACCCCCAAATCTCAGCAGCTTGACACAAGGAAAGTTTATTTGCTGTTCACACAAGGTAGGATGCACAACAGTGGTGGGGGAGGACTTGTGGACTTCTGACATCTTGTAGCTGCACCAACCAGGACAGAACACTTGGCCTTAAAGATTACTACAGCAAGGTCAGAGAGAGCATGGAGGAACTCTTCCCAGTTATTCCATGCTTCAACTCTGAAATGACACAATCACTTCTGCTTACAACTCATTGACCAGAACTACTCTCATGGCTCTTGCATGATCTTTCTACGTGCCCAGAAGAGGAAAATGAAGTAGAACTTGATGAACATATAGCATTGTCTACCACAACTAGTATATGGTGACTCAAAATTCAATGGCAGATCTTTAAGTTTGCAAAGTCTGTGCTCTTTCCACTAAAACATTTGGCCTCCCAAGATTGAGGGAATCTGTTTTTCACAGAAACGAGACGCCATCTAATTTGTAGAATATGACACCTCA